TGTTGCTGCTCAGAGGTGAACAACTAATAAAAATTTGTATTTAAGATATTGTATCTTGACAGATTAAAAGCTTCAGGTTTTTCCCTTAATTTAAATATATGTCATTTCCTCTGGATTGTGTGCCACCTACACACATGCAAACTCCTTACCCTCTTCCTCCTTTTCCTTCAAAAGCTCCTTCTATTTCCTTTTATTATCTAAAATGTGACTTTCAGTTGGGCATGTTGGCTCATGAGTATAAGTAGCACTTTGGAAGGATGAGGCAGGAAGATTGCTTGAGACTAGGAGTTAGAGACCAACCTGAGCGAGAGAAAGATCTTGTCTCTACAAAAAATAGAACTATTAGCCAGGTGTGATGATGCATGCCTGTACTCCCAGCTATTTGGGAGACTGAGGTAGGAGGATTGCTTGAGCCCAGAATTTCAAGTTTCAGTTTTGGAAGACGTGAAGAAGTGAACTGCGTTGACAAACACTGCACTCTAACCTGGGTGAAAGGGGAGATGATGTCTTTAAACAAACAAACAAACAAATGACTTTGCCTTGGTGTTGCCACTATTCTCAAAATGCACTCCATTTCCTTGTGTGTACATTTCCAATGGCCAGTAGAGAAAGCAGCGCATTTCTCATTTTCCATAGCCCTTTCTCACTCCAACCTTACGGCCAACTACTTATGCTGACCTCTTTCCTTTCTGGTCACAAGGGACCCTGAGTTCTTTCTCTGTTCACTGTAACCATTACTGTTGTCGCCCTTGGTGACTTTAGTGCCTGTTTTGATGACTCTTCAACATTTTCTGACAGCTTACTCATAAACCTCATCCTGACCTCCTTAACATCAGAATATCTGTCTCTAAGATAGGGAGCAATCAAATTCTCCCATTTACGAACAAACTCCCTTTTTGCTACTTCTTCCATTCCCACTTTTTAAATTCTTCTTTAAATCATTTTTTAATTGTGGTAAAATATATGTACCATAAAATTTATCATTTAACCATTTTTTGAATGTATTTCAGCAGCATTTAGTATATTTGCATTGTTGTGCAACCATTACCACCCTCCATCTCCAGCACTTTTTTTATCTTCCAAAACTGAAACTCTATACCTACTGAACAATAATTCCCCATTCCTCAACTAAATCTTTTTTATATTCTCCATGGAGCTGTTTCAGTCTTTTCCCACTTATTCTCAAAAATTCAAATCATGCTTATTCCTCTTAATCTCTATAACTCTTTCATAAGCTACTTTACTAGGAATATTGTGGCCATTTACAAGACCCTCAAGTTCTTGTCCGTACACCTTTAACACTTCACGTCTTCTCTGATTTTCCCACTGTAAAACATCAATAATAATAACAACAATAATAAACATGTATTGAGTTTCTACTATGTCCACTACTGTGCTAAGTGCTTAAACATACCTACTTAAAACAACTCATTGAAGTCTCACAACTCAATGAGTTCAAACTAATATGAGCAAAATTATGACATTATTATGAATAATATAATTTTTATAATGAAGATTATGAAGATGATGAAGAAATTGAGACTTTATAGACATCAAGATTATCTAGCTAGTAACCAACATCTTCCTTTCTCCCCTTTACTCTACCAAGATAGCATTCTCTTTGTTTCCTTTCATGACCATAGAAAAGGAAAATGTCTTACTTCCTCCTTCTCTATTCTGTGCAATCCACTACAGTTGTTTTGAGATTTCCACTATACTTAAATGATTCTCTCCAAGGTTTCTAATCTCCAACTAGGTTTCTATAGTACTCATTGCCAGCTGTCCTACTTTTTTGAGACAGTTACTCTCTCTGCTTTCCTTTCTGGTCTTCTTTACTAACTCTTTTTCTTCGTTTATCCCTTAAATCTAAGATACCCCAGAATTCCATCTTTACACAGCTTTCTCTTCCTGTTCTACACCTAATCAAGACAATCTCATTCACTTCCACACCATCAGCAGGATGTCATCATGTCTTCACAAATGAAGAGCAAATCCATATAGCTAATTCCGGCTTCCCACAATTTCCCTGCTGAAATTTCCATAATTATTCATCAAGTACTTCAAGCTCCATCTGCCCCACATCAAACTCTTTCAATATTCCTACTGGTGAAATTCCCACCTGAGTTTCCTCTTATGAACCACTGGAACCATCTTCACTTCCCCCCTCACCACCCCTCTTCCCAGTTTTCCCAGTCCAGAGCTGGAACACTCACATCCAAAAAGAGCTATGGAGGCATTGTGGAGATATACCTCAGAACTGGGAGTAGGAACTGAGTTTTAATCCTGACTCAGCCGCTTGGTGACTGGCTTAGTAGAACTAGAATAGGTATCTCTGGGACCCTTTCTCAGCTCTCATCACTCCATTCCCCCCTCATAGAACCCACTGTTGCCCTCACTCTTTCCTCACTGCTTTTGCCTGGGGGGCATTTTACCTGGTCTTCTTGCCTTTCTCTCCTTTCTTTTCTTTTTTTTTTTTTTTGAGACAGAGCCTCAAGCTGTCCCCCTGGGTAGAGTGCCGTGGCATTACAGCTCACAGCAACCTCCAACTCCTGGGCTCAAGCGAGTCTCCTGCCTCCGCCTCCCAAGTAGCTGGGACCACAGGTGCCCACCACAACGCCCGGCTATTTTTTTTTTTTTTGGTTGCAGCCGTCATTGTTGTTTTGGCGGGTCCGGGCTGGGGATTCGAACCCATCACCTTAGGTGTATGTGGCTGGCGCCTCAGCCGGTTGAGCTATAGGCGCCGAGCCACTCCTTTCTTTTCTTCTTCTGGATGATGCTTCACACAAACATAAAATAATATTCATAAAACACACTCTAGATGATGTTTCTCATTTGCTTTAGAAACTCTCAAAAGATTTTATCTATGGGATAAAATTCAAACTCCTTACTTTAGCACTTATAGCCCTCTGCATACTGGTCCCAACATAATATATGAAACTTCATTTTGTCTAAATTGGGTAACAAATGTAATTGGGATACGTATTTATGGGAGAGAAATCTCTAACATTCTTTATACTAAAAGTAATAGTGAATCAAATATTTAAGTATAAAATATTAAACAATAAAATTTTAGAAAATAGTATAAGGAAACTTATCTGTAATCTTTAAAGCAGGACACAAAACCAGAAGTTCTAAATGAAAACACTGATTAATTTTATCACATGATATTTAGAAACTTATCTATTCCATCAAAAATAATGCCATTAACAAAGTCTAAAGATAAGTGACAAAGGGGAAAAAGCAGTATCATATCACAGACTAGTGTTTAATTTCTTAACTTACAATGAGTCCATATAAATCAATAATTTACAGAAATTAAAATCAGACTTTTTTAAAAAAAATATGTTCAAGCTCATTAAATAACAGGAAAAAATTAAAGACTATGAGATATTTTCTACTTTTTTTTTTTTTTATTTATTTGGAGACAGAGTCTCACTTTGTTGCCTGCAGTAGAGTGTGGTAGCATCACAGCTCACAGCAATCTCAAACTCTTGGGCTCAAGTGATTCTCTTGCCTCAGCCTCCCAAGTAGCTAGGACTATAAGTGCCTACCACAATGCCTGGCTATTTTTTGAGACCAGGTCTCACTCTTGCTCAGGCTGCTCTCAAACTCATGAGCTGAAGCAATCCACTTGCCTTGGCCTCCCAGAGTGGTAGGATTACCAATATGAGCTACCATGCCTGACTGATTTTTCACTTTTTAGAAAGGCAAACATTTTGAAGTTGATGATGCCGGCTCAGTGCCTGTAGCTCAACAGTTTGGGTAATGGCCACATACACCGGAGCTGGGAGGTTCAAACCTGGCCCAGGCCTGCTAAACAACAATGATAACAACAACAAAAAAATAGGCGGGCATGTGGCAGGCACCTGTAGTCCGAGCTACTTGGGAAGCTGAGGCAAGAGAATCACTTAAGCCCAGGAGTTCGAGGTTGCAGTGAGCTGGGACACCACTGCACTCTACCGAGGGTGACATAATAGGACTCTGTCTCAAAAAATAAAAATAAATAAAAAATAAAGTTGATAATACCTGTTGTTGCTATGGGGATGGAGAAGAGGGCACTTACCTGTATTACTGACAAATTATAAATCAATACAAACTTTTAGAAGTCAACTGGGTAATATCAAACTATAAAATAGATGTATCCTCTGTTCTAGCAATTCCACGACTAGAAATGTATGCAACCAATGAACTTACAAAGGTTTTCCAAGAGTCACAACACACACACACACACACACACACACACACACACATGCTCAGCTGTGAAGAAAAAAGGAAAGAAAATCCTGGAAACAAAGTGTTAAAGATTGATTATATGAATATATATAACCTTATACATATAACATTAATATGTTTTCTACTTAATAATAAAATATGGTTAAGACATTTATATGATTGAATGTTATTTATAATGATACTTGTAAAAGAATGTTTCTAACGTGAAAATGTTTATCATAAAATGTTAATTGGAAACTAGAAAAAGCAGCCTACAAAATATTTGTAGTATGATTTTATTTTAATAAAATAGATGTACATACCATTTTTACCTAGAAAAAAGAATGTCAGGATCTATAGCATATATGCTTTCCTATCATTTACATATTTTCTAAGTGCACATATACCAGTTTTATAATCAGAAAAAAGTTGCTTAAAAAGTTTTCACTTTCCTGTAGAAAAGAGACAGGGACTTCAACAATCTTTTCCCTTGTATACTTGATATTATGCAATAAACACTACAAGTGTCAGAGAGGTTTTATAAAAATTAATGATTAATTAAGCATAACTCTTTGGAAGTGCTTTCACTAAAATAATTTGAAAGCTCTGTTTAGTATTTGGCTGTAAAAAAAAAAAAAGCTCCCACACAGTCTGATACATTCAACTAGTTCTATTTGCATTGCTTCATAATCAAACACTGCCACGCAATGTTGCTTAATCCCTGTGTGTATATAAGTAGAATTGGAATGTAACTGCCTAAACTACTACCAATTGCTGACTACAGGAAACCACATTATCAGAGACCGGTCCTTCCCATTTATAACTTCGGTGAGTATCATAACCAGTGTGCTGTATGTCACTGGAAAAAGCAGCAAAAAAGAACCAGTGATGTTTATATGACCATATGTTCTGAAACATATCTGATATAAAAAGAGGAGAAGAAAGAGTTAAGTTTTAGTCTGAAGAAATGGTGAAAAGAATAATACTATTTATCAAGGTTAAAGATTGTAGGTTGTTTGCAGAAAATGCTTTGTTTTTCAGAATAGGATTTGAGAATATTTTCTGATTATACTTTTGACTTATTATGTGATTCTAAAAAAGGTACTGGCTTTCTCTGTAACAACAACCCCATTGTAAATGTGGTATTTTCAGTTTCTTATCGCTCTTGCTCAATTAGGCAAGCTAAAATTGGTTTAGAGCAGGATATAATAATCAATCTGGGTTGTGTCATCATATGAAAGAACACGGAACTTTCAGCAATTTATGACAGAGAATTTGGTATTTTTCCAGTATATTTCTGTTACTCAGCTTGATCGTTAAGCTATAGCACCCACTGATGATCCTTGCCTGAATCAAGTATTAAATCAGAGGCTGCAACATGGTGATCTGCCTGAGTCTAACATCCCTTCTGTAATGAACAGATTCCTCCCTATTCATTCATTCTTGAGAAATGTCATGAACTTGTGGGTTTCTTTTTTCATTAAATGCTTTGTTGTCAATTACCATTATTATTGTTTTTGATCCTTAAGTTGTGCCAAACGTGGCCAGCAGAAGACCTTTCATGATGGCTCATGTATGCTTTTGACACAACCTCATTAGTTTTAGTATGACTCTACCGCTTCTGGCACAACAGGATGCTCCATGTTCATTACCACATTATCACCTACAGATCTGGAGTCGTGACTCCTTTTAGTGGAGAAAGCATTTAGAAACTAAGATATGGAACACTGATTTTTCTGATTCAATTCTATATTCCAGGGTTTTTCTCTTGGCTTCCGGTGTTTTATATTTATATCTCCTTTCCCCTACAATGAAACCTGTGCAACATCAATATATCCACTTACTTGCTCTATACTGCACTATAACAAAACAGTCTCAGATTTCCAATACAAATTTTACCCCTAACAATAAACCCACCAAGTAAAATTTAAGGTTTCTTTACAGTTGTTTTTGACCTATGACTATACAACCAAAAACAACAACAAGGATATGTTCTGAGAAATGCATCATTAGGCAATTTCAGCACTGGGTGAATAACATAGAGTATAATTAGTATAGCCTACTGCACAAGTAGGCAATATAACATAGCCCCTTGCTCCTGGCTGTAAACCTGTACAACATGTTACTCTATTGAATACTATAGGCAACTGTAACAACCTGCTAAGTATTTGGTATCTAAACAGATTAAACATAGAAAAGGTGCAGTTAAAATACCATATAAAAGGCAAAAAAAATGGTATACCAGCCATGAATGGAGCTTGAAGGAGAGAAGTTGCTCTAGGTGAGCAGTGAGTCACTGGTAAATAAATGTGAAGACCTAGGACATTGCTATATTTTACTGTAGACTTTATAAATGCTTAGACTACACTATCTTTAAAATTTTTTCTTTTTGCAATAATACATTAACCTTACTTGCTCTAACATTTTTACTTTATAAACTCTTTAATTTCTTTTAACATTTTGACTCTTCTGTAGTAACTTAGCTCAAAACACATACTGTACAGGGGTATAAAAATATTTATACCCTATCATACTATATACTCTGTATTTTTTTTAATTTTTTAGTTTTTTACTTTTTAAACTTTTTTGTTAAAAACTAAGACAAACACACACACATTAGCTTGGGTCTATCCTATCTCCCTGGAAGTTCTTCAAGAGCAATAGCACATGTGGACCTGCCATCTCCTATGATAATAATACCTTCTGGAATACCTCTGGATTGACCTGCCTGAGGTTGCTTTACAGTTAACTTTTTAAAAAAATAAGTATAAGGGGCTCAGTGCTCGTAGCTCAGGGTGCCGGCCACATACACCAAGGCAGGCAGGTTTGAACTCAGCCCGAGCCTGCTAAACAACAATGACAACTACAACAAAAAATAGCCAGGCATTGTGGCAGATGCCTGTAGTCCCAGCAACTTGGGAGGCTGAGGCAAGAGAATTGCTCAAGCCCAAGAGTTTAAGGTTGCTGTGAGCGAGCTATCACACTACGGAACTCTACAGAGGGTGACATAGTGAGACTGTCTCAATAAATAAATAATAAGTAAAAATAAAAATAAGTGTAAGGTGTACAATTCACAATAATGATAAAAAGCATAGTATAGCAAATACTAAGCCAATAATACATGTAGAGTCATTTATTATTAAGTATTACATAATATACATAATTGTATATGCTATACTTTTATACAACTGGCAGCACGAAGATTTGTTTATACCAGCATCACCACAAAGGTGATGATGAATTGCACCACAATGTATCAATGGCTATAGTCACTAGGCAAAAGGAATTTTTTCAGCTCAATTATAATCTTTTTTTTTTTTGGAAATAGAGTCTCACTATGTCGCCCTCTGAAGTGTGCTATACTGTCATAGCTCACAGCAACCTCTAACTCTTAGGCTTAAGCCATTCTCTTGCCTCAGCCTCCCAGTTAGCTGGGACCACAGACACCTGCCACAATGCCTAGCTATTTTTTGTTGTAGTTGTCATTGTTGTTTAGCTGGCCCAGGCTGGGTTCGAACCTGCCAGCCCCAACATAGGTGGTCAGCGCCGTAACCACTGAGCTATGTGTGCCCAGCCCTCAATTATAATCTTTTGGGACCACAATCATTAATTATATGGTCAGTCATTGACTGAGACATCATTATGCAGTGCATGACTGTATTCTAGTAAGAATATATAGTTAGAATACTATGCTCAAATTTTACTAAAATAATTATTTTCTCTATGTAATTATCCATTTTATAGTGAGTTAGCCACAGTTGTTTCTGCTTGTTTTCAAGTTGATACAATTGAACTAATATATTTTAATTCAACAGAAACCTGAAAAATGAAGCCTAAAATGAAGTATTCAACCAACAAAATTGCCCCAGCAAAGTTGAACCGCACAGCAAACAAAGCCATGGAAACATCTTGCAAGCCAATAAGTAAGCATTTTGAATATTTTCCATCCTATGTTTTATCTGCTTATCTGTTACCAAAGCCTTATTATTCCAGTATTCATACATGCTGTCTTATCAAAAGCTATTAAGAATACAAAAACTGAAATCAAAAGAGATGTCTCATAAGGGTATAATACAGCAGACTTTGGTTTTAAACAGCCAACTTTTGTTTATTTGATACATTTTTTGTCAGGAGAACAAGTACCATGCTGGCTATGCTACTAGATGTTTTTCTTAGTTACATTTCAAACTGGACAGGAATAGCTCAGTTAATTTAAATTTGCAAACCACAGTAGCACAGTGGTTACGGCACCAGCCATATACACCAAGGTTGGCAGGTTCGAACCCGGCCCTGACCAGCTAAGCGACAATGACAACTACAACAAAAAATAGCCAGGCATTGTGGTGGGTGCCTGTAGTCCCAGCTACTTGGGAGGCTGAGGCAAGAGAATCACTTAAGCCCAAGAGTTTGAAGTTGCTGTGAGCTGTAATGCCACAGCACTCTACCAAGGGTGACACAGTGAGACTGTCTCTCAAAAAAAAAAAAAATCGCGAGTAGTGACAGACTTAATCATTGCCTTTTACATCAACCATTTCTCTTTCCCACATCTCCTACCACCAAATCCCCCAAATACTTTCCCTAATTAACTAACAAAACTTTAAACTGATTAAAATTGTCATTCAACTGATCAAAAGTTTCATTCATTAAACTTGCATTCCACAAATATTTATAAAGACCTTTGGTGTATCAAGCATGTAGTTGTGACTTAAGACTATTGATAAAGGAGAGAATAATTGAAGATATTAGGATAATCTAAAGCTCAAATAAAAATAAATAAATAAAGCAGAAGCAATAAATGATGCTCAAGTCTATCTACTTAACAAATTCAAAGAGTTTGACATAAGATTAAAGGTAAATAAGTCAGGTAACAGCTACAGGTCTGATATTAAAGGGCTGTATTCCTCTTTAATTCTTAAAATTATTTATTCTGGAAGTAATCATGCAAACTTATACTCCAAATTCATATGGGAGCAGTAAGTAACACAAAAACATTAACAGAGCCATGGTGCCCAGGAAAGAAAACGTAAGATAAGGAGTGATGGTGGAGACTGGCATATCCTTGTCTGGGTGCTCCTTTCAATTTCTCTAAACATCTTTAAATCTAGAAGAGAAAGAAATGTTAAAGAATATGATTTCTATCCTATTGTGTCCTCCATGAGGCTCTGACTCACCACATTCTCTTTGGTAACTACAGAAAACACTAATTTGATTGTAGTTTCTGAATGGCCAGGAAATCATAATTAAATTAGTCCTTTTATTTGTAGCTGAGTCAAAATGCTATCTGCAGAAAGTGACTCACGTTGAAATTTAATTGCAATTGTGACAAGAGATGGGATCTATAAGGTGTGATTAGATCATAAGGGCTCTGCCCTCATGAATAGATTGATGCCATTATCACAGGAGTGAATTTGTTATCATAGGAGCAGCTCTCCAATAAAAGGATGAAGTTTGACCCCATTCTTTCCCTATCTTGCATATTCTTTTGATGTATGATGTTTTCAGCCAGATCAAGACACAGTGAAAAGGTCTTCACCAGATTCAGCTCCTTAATCTTGGCCTTTCAGTTTCTAGGACTGTGGGTCAAATAAATCTCCTTTCTTTATAAATTATCCAATCTGTGGCATAATGCCATAATTCTATTATAGCAGCAGAAAATAGACTAAGACAGGTATATCTTAGTTTAGGGTAGCTGTAGGTCATCTAGCAAAGATGTTCAGAATTCAAGAGGATGTACACAGAAACAGATAGAGGTGCTTTATAGCAGGGGTGTCCAACCTGTGGTCAGGTCCATGGACCACATGCTGATTTTCTGAGGACTTTTTTGCTTATCTGTGGTATTGGATATCATGAAAAGTATGTATGGACCTTGCGTTTTGCTAATCATCTTTAGTCAGTGTTTGTATATTAACTGTGTAGCCCAATACAATGCTTTAATTCTTCCAATGTGTGGCAGAGAAATAAAAAAGGTTGGACACTGCTTTAAGGTATCTTAGTTAAAATGCCTTAGGGAGAAAAAGCAACAGTTATAAAGCTCAGGAGAAAAACTGAAGATAGTATTAAAGTTTGGAGCATTTGAGGGAGTTGTCAGCCTCTAAAACACGGACTGAAGTCATTGGAACAAGCAAGATTACCCAGAAAGAAAGAGCAAGATGCTGGGCACGCTAGCTCACTCCTGTAATCTTAGCACTCTGGGAGGCCAAGGTGGGTGGATTGGTTGAGCTCAGGAGTTCGAGACCATCCTGAACAAGAGCAAGACTCCATCTCTACTAAAAACAGAAAAAACTAGCTGGGCATGGTGGTGCACGACTATAGTCCCAGCTACTCACGAAGCTGAGACAAGAGGATCATTTGAGCCCAAGAGTTTAAGGTTGCTGTGAGCTATGATGATGACACAGAACTGTACCCACAGAACTGTTTACTCTATCTGTAAAACAAAAGAGGACAAGCAAGAGAAGGCAAAAGACAAAACCTTGAGGAATACAAACATTTTAGGAGCAGACAGAAGAGAAATAACTAACACTTATTGAAGTAAACGGATCAAAGAGAAACAAGGAGAACCTAAGAGGACTGGTAATACAGTGATAAGGGAAGAGAGGTTCAAAGAAGGAAGAGGTTCTAAGAGTCAAATGACAGAGTCAGACCAAGAGTAGTAAGCAGTAAAATAGGTGTTTGTGGAAGAAATGAAAAATGAAGTGACTAACTTCCATAGTTTCTGTCACACATAGTCTGGCTCTCGAAGCAGCAAATTATAGAAAAATTCCAGGGCCTTTCCCATTTACTCACCAGAAATCCCTGAGGGAAACGAATACTCTTGGAAGATGAAATTAGTTATAAAAATTTTCTTAAAATCCACACTAAGCCACTGCCCTTAGAGAATAGCCAGATGGAGACATACAGAGTGGTAGCAGTCCTTACATGTTTGAGCTGGTTCTTTGACCCCAGTGGAACAATCTCTCTCCTACAGAGTCCTCATGAACATGCCAGCTTTGTGCTTTCAAACCCAGAATACAATCCCCATGCTTTCTGCTGCCCAGAATACCAAAGTTTACCTTCTTCCAAATTCTTCCAATGCAAATTATTTTTAATACTTCAAATGGAGTCATCCCTCACCCCTACCATGTATTATACCCGATGGTTGTCTCACTAGATCCTGGCCTCCGTATCCGTACCTTTAACTCTCAAACCCTTTCTTCTTTTACATACATAATACTTCATCAGTACTGTGACCCTCACTTCTAACTACCCATTTGATATTAAACATTCCTATCATGTCTGCATGTAATGTGGACCACATTAAAAGAAGAATTTAAAGAACAAGCATGCTTTTGGTATAGTCTCATATTTTTTGGCTCTGAAGAGACAATGTGATACAGTTGCTATTTATTAAATGTCCTCATCAAACTCATGTTAAAATTTAATTGTTACGGTGATGAGAGACAGGAAGTGATTAGGTCATGAGGGGTCCGCCTTCATGAATGGATTAATGATGCTATCACAGGAATGGGTCAATAGTTACGAGACTAGGTTTATTTTAAAAACAAGTTCTCCCAATTTCCTCTCTCTCGTGGGTTTATTTCTGCCTTCTACCCCTTCCACCAAAGGATGACTTTTACTACATGCCAGCACTATGCTCTTGGATTTTCCAGCTTCCTGAACTGTGAGAAATTAATTTCTTTTCTTTATAAATTACCCAGTCTGTGGCATTCTGTCATAGCAGCAGAGAACAGACTGACAATAGTTAATAAAATATTATACAAAATTAGTTTTCAGGAGAACAATTACAATGCTGGGTCTGGTACTAATTAGCTTTGTAAATTATCTTTTTATCTGTAAAAATGCTACTACATAAATGTGAGATGCTGAAGTAAGTATCTCTGAATTATGATGCAACATTGGGAAGTTCCAGGGTGGATGTGAACATAATTAAGTGGCCCTCCCCTCTTCAGACACTTGAAGATACTTAAGGTAGCTACCCATCTATCTCAATTGGGGAAAAGATATGGATAATTCAAAATAATAGCTAACAAGGTTTTATTCCATGTGACTTTTAGAAAACATTATTTTAAGAAGACAAGTATCCTAGAAAATTAAAAGAAATCATAAAATGGATCCAAGAGTCTCAAATAATTATTTTCTTTTCTGAATTGCTGTGAACTGAAATTTGACTATATTGTATAAACTCCTTGATAATTCATTTACTATAATGTTAAAAATTGAGATTCTAGGCTCGGCGCCTATAGCTCAACCAGCTAAGGCACCAGCCACGTACAGCTAAGGTGGCCGCTTCGAATCCCAAGCCCGGACCCGCCAAACAACAATGACGGCTGCAACCAAAAAAAAAAAAAAATAGCCGGGCGTTGTGGCGGGCGCCTGTGGTCCCAGCTACTTGGGAGGCGGAGGCAGGAGACTCACTTGAGCCCAGGAGTTGGAGGTTGCTGTGAGCTTTGATGCCACAGCGCTCTACCCAGGGGGACAGCTTGAGGCTCTGTCTCAAAAAAAAAAAAAAAAAATTGAGATTCTATAACTCATGTGCTATAATATTCTATCTGACTCTGAAAGGCTTTTTAGGATATCAAAGTAGCAAATTTAATTTTTTACTTGAAATGTAAATATTTCTTTGCTAAATTAAAAAAGAATTACTAAATAATTAACTTTTTAATTTCAATTTATTTAATTTGAATCTCCATTTTGTTAGTCCTTCAAATTTCTGTGCAGCTTATTCTTAGGTATAGGTAAGTGGATAATAGTAGAAGTAAAAATTTTGGTATTATATACCTTTGTCACAATTTCTCACCAGACCTGTAATCTTGGGCAAATGTCTTAACTTCTAAGGGCTGCAGATCATCACCTGTTAAATGGGGATAATAACATCTACTTTGTAAGATTACTGTGAATGATTAAATGAAGAAATATGTAAAATTATTAGTAGAGTGTATAGTTCACTATAGACACTTAGTAAATGCCAGGGTTTAAAAATTTTTTTTAGGCTCAGTGCCCATAGCACAGTGATTACGGTGCCAGCCACTGAGGCTGGCAGGTTAGAACTCGGCCCCAGCCAGCTAAAACAACAATGACAACTGCAATAAAAAATAGCCAGGCGTTGTGGCAGGTGCCTATAGTCTTAGCTACTTGGGAGGCTGAAGAAAAAGAATCGCTTAACCCCAAGAGTTTGAGGTTGCTGTGAGCTGTGACGCCATAGCACTCTACTGAGGGTGACATAGTGAGACTCTGTCTCAAAAAAAATTTTTTTTAATTTCTTTTTTTAGAGATGAGATCTTTCTGTGTTGCCCAGGCTGATCTCAGACTCCTGGCATCAAGCAATCCCCTCCCACCTCAGCCTCCTGAGTCACTAGAATTGCAGGCATGAGCCATCATCCCTGGCTTGGCAGTTATTTTAATGTCAGCAACCTTTATAGACCACAGTTATCCTTCCAAAGTTATTAAAGGTCTACATTCTAGATAAGTAGAAAAAATTCAGATTTCATAGGAATAAAAGGCCTCCCACAGTTAGGCAAAGGCTGATGTGATATGTTGTATGTAGGTTCACATTCCCTTATATGAAATTCTAAAACCCAACATTTTTTCTAAAGTTTTCATAATTCATTTTGCAACAAAATATGACCTAAGTTCATTTTGTCATGTAAACCTTGACCTGAACTAACATGAGGTCTTTATTTCACTTTATTTCACAAATTTTCCTATGTCTCACTATAAAGTTAACTAGATTTATTACAGAGTACTGCCCCAGTCCCTCCTGGGAGTACTACACATATGTAGTATAGGCTCTACAGTGCAATCCTAAAATCTAAAAAGCTCTGCATTGTAAAACACATCTGGTTCTAAAGGGCTCTTATGAGATAATGTGAATGTGAACTTCCTTTCTTGGTCTGCTTCACTCAGAGGTTGTAAAAGAACTAATATGGCTCAGCACCTGTAGCACAGTGGTCATGGGGCCAGCCACATACCCTGAGGGTGGCAGGTTCAAACCTGACCTGGGCCAGCTAAAAAACAATGACAACTGCAACAAAAAAATAGCTGGCAGTTATGGTAGACACCTGTAGTCCAAGCTACTTGGGAGGCTGAGACAAGAGAATCACTTAAGCCCAAGAGTTTGAGGTTACTATGAGCTGTGACGCCATGGCACTCTACCAAGGGCAACATAGTGAGACTCTGTCTCAAATAAAAAAAAAAAAAGAACTAATATGAATGGAATGAAACAATCTCACAATTTTTTTCAATTGTTTAGAATTCCAGCAGAAGGCTGAAGAAGTATGCCATTCTTATGTCATGAAGCTCCGCTCTGGCCTTATCATAGAAAAGAAGGCCTGTTACTTTAGGAAAAGAACCACCAAAAGGGCTTCCTTAGGAAAGAAACCACCAAAAACAGGTAAGGAGAACTGTACACTCCCTGGAAATAGTGTTAGGTATCTATATGCCCTCACTTATCACATTTAAGTATATAGCTTTTTCTCCTCACTCAAATATTCCTGCTGAGAAAGAGTAAGGATGATGAACTGTCTCCTCATCATTTCAAAAAGGGCATATATAGAGCTTTTAATATGAGAGAAATGAGGCTCGGCTCCTGTGGCTCAAGTGGCTAAGGCGCCAGCCACATACACCTAAGGTGGCGGGTTCGAATCCCCAGCCTGGGCCCGCCAAACAACAATGATGGCTGCAACCAAAAAATGGCCAGGCGTTGTGGTGGGCGCCTGTAGTCCCAGCTACTTGGGAGGCTGAGGCAGGAGACTCACTTGAGCCCAGGAGTTGGAGGTTGCTGTGAGCGTGATGCCATGGCACTCTACCTAGGGGGATAGCTTGAGGCTCTGTCTTAAAAAAAACAAAAAAAAAAATGAGAGAAATGGTTATGTTACATTATTAAATAAAAACAGCTGATATAAAATTCTATATAAATATGTTTACAATATTTGTAAGTGATTTTTTTTATTTAAAGGAAGTAAACTAAAATATTAATAGCAGTTGCTTTTGGGTGTTGAGACTAGTTTTCTTCCTCCTGCTCTCTAATGTGCCCTACTGCTGGGGTATAATTGTGCCAGGAGGCATTGATCCTTTCAGACTATGGGATGCCCAAAGCCCTGAAGTCAGTCACCACTGTCAGTAAGCAGCCTCCTCTGGGAATCCTCAAAGGGGCATCTGTGCAGAATAGAGATTGATAATCCACCTCTATCTCCACCCCATCCTGTAGGTGTAAAAGAACATCTGTCACTCACTGCTTTTCAACAACGGTCTACTATGGAGCACTTTGCCTTTGGTATACCTGATATCCAGAAATATGCTAAAACACTTCAAGTTTCAAGTCCTACAGGTATGACTAGTTACAGGGGTAGGGTGGGGGTGAGGAAGGCAGTGAGACACAGTTCCCTGGCAAGTGCTACTCCAGGTAGCAGCCCCAAGTCTATATCTGCATTTGTATTAGAAACTTCTGTCCATTTGCAGCTGATGTGCCCATTAACAGTATCCAAACTAGGTGCAAGGTAGCTGTTCTAACAAAGCATGTGCATTCTATTGTTAGCATTCCATCATAATGTTGAATGCTTGCTGTGGATTAAAATGTATTCCATAAGAATACATTATTCTTCATGAAATATATTGCCCTCTGGACAAAAACACATTATTCCCCCAAGTTTCAACATTTTGATCATAAAACAAAGAACTACTATATTTTCTAAATGTAATTTCAACATTTTATGCATTTTAAATAATAATGAAAATGGTTTTAAATTTTATCACCTACTTATTCAAAGTTCCAAGCTGATGATGGCTATCAAAAAATGAAGAGATTGGCCAGGTGCAGTGACTCACGCCTGTAATCCTAGTACTCTAGGAGGCCACTAAAAAAAAAACAATCATTGATAAGAAAACCAGGAAATTGCACATTGCCCTTTCAAGCATTAATTCTAATATAAATGTCTTAAATTCCCAGAAGCAATATTGAAGTTTCTCATTAAGTATTTCTTCTTGTTGTTGTTTTGTTTGTTTGTTTGTATGTGTGTGTGTGTGAGACAGTCTCACTCTGTTGATTCTCACCAGCCTAGAATGCCATGGTGTCAGCCATAGCAACTTGAAACTCCTGGGTTCAAGCAATCCTCCTGCCTCATCCTCCTGAGGCAGGAAGCACAAATGCCCAGCTAATTTCTCTATTTTTAGTAGAGATACAGGGTTTTGCTCTTACTCATGCCGGTCTCAAACTCTTGAGTTCAAGCAATCCTTCCCCCTTGTCCTCCCAGAGTGCTAGGATTACAGGAATGAGCCACCATACCCAGCCCAAGTATTTCTAAATCATTTACTTTAAGTTCCATATACAAATTCAATTTAACATTTTCCTTAGTATTTTGTATTTTTTTAGCATAATTCTCGAAGGTAAAGAAAATGTGATTTTTTTCCATGTCCCATATAAGAGTAAGAGTCCCTTACTCTCCTCCAGTTTACCTCATCAGACTGTAAAAATCAGACTGTATTATCATCTTTTATGTTTGCTATGCCATTTTTTAAAAAGTTGGGAGTGGTATACCTACAGTCTCTGTCATTTAGCCAGAGGATAGAACAAGGCTCACATCTACATACCCCAAGACCGCTGAAAATCTCTGAGTGATGCCACAATTTATAGAAGGACATTTATTTATCCATGTCTATCAAAATACAGTCCTTCTTTCCCACAGTCCCCAGATCATAGGGATTCAGGAAGTGGAGGTTTCTTTACCCAACATCTATCACTTTCCATCTTCCTCTTTCTCAGACCCTACCAAAGAACACTATAGTACATAGCCTCCCAGGGCCTTCTTGCAGGAAACTAGCACCTTTAATCCCATTTAGGTGTCGTGCCTCAGGCTTTGAACACTGTAAAGCAGGCGTCCTCAAACTACAGCCCATGGGCCACATGCAGCCTGCCTAGGACATTTATCCAGCCCGCAGGGTATTTTTGCTGCCGCTGCCTGTCCTGCTTAGCAGCTGACTCGTCCAGGGGCCCACAGTCCAGCCCCCCAACAGTCTGAGGGAAAGTGAACTGGCCCCCTGGTTAAAAAGTTTGAGGACCCCTGTTAAAGCTTGTGTCAAAGACTTTCATTATACAATAGTAAGAAAGTGCAGTTCAAATTGTAAAGATATTTCTTTGAGCAAGTTTTTTTTTTTGAGACAGAGCCTCAAGCTGTCCCCCTGGGTAGAGTGCTGTGGCATCACAGCTCACAGCAACCTCCAACTCCTAGGCTCAAGTGAGTCTCCTGCCTCTGCCTCCCAAGTAGCTGGGACCACAGGTGCCTGCCACAACGCCTGGCTATTTTTTGGGGGGGCGGGGGGAGGGTTGCAGCCATCATTGTTGTTTGGCAGGCCTGGGCTGGATTCGAACCCACCACCTTAGGTGTAGGTGGCTGGCGCCTTAGCCACTTGAGCCACAGGCCCTGAGTCAGAGCAAGTATTTTTTAAAAATTGTCAAAAGAATTGTTCCCGACAACAAATTTTTTTAATTCTTAATGACAGGAATTTCACCTATTACAGAATCTTTTGCGTCCCTAAGCACATACAATGATCAATCCATTACTTTTGCTTTGGAAGATGGAAGTTATGAGATCTACGTTGAAGACTTAAAAAAAGATCAAGAGAAAGGTAGCACATTTCCTTTTGTCTATACTGATATAATGATCACTACTAAAGCATTTTTACTTTAAATCTGCCAAACCATAAACAATGGATTAGCTCAGGCACTGCTGAGCTAATAGATCGTGCTGGGTGCTAACTACAGTGCCCTGGCAGTGGATGACTGAACATCACCATATAGAAAAAGATTCAGAAGCTTAGTCAGGGTTTATCAGGGAATAATGCTCATATTGAGAAGTGGTATCTACTGTGAAAGGTGGAAGGACAGACCATATGTACTTGCTTTCTCTAAATTACCCACTGATCTTTCCAGCCTATCACTATCACCAAAATACACCTTTAGTAAAAGAATATGTCAGTGTTATGAACAATATTTTAAATATTTTTTTAACAATGGTGTTGGAGAATTCACCAGAGTATGTTCATATATTTCTCAAATACAAAGGTTTTGCTTTTATTGAAATATAATAAAAAGGGAAGATATTTTCTGATACTTTATACACACACACAGAAGATGCCAAAAGATCTTATACTCAGTTAAAGAAAGAAAAACACTGTATTAAATTTGTAATATTCAAATCTCTTTTGACTTTTGCAAGTATAAGAGGTACTCAATGTGACTTGTATTTATCTTTTATTGTTGATATATAGAGAGTATTATAACATATATATACATAAACATATATGCATATATGTTAGAACTGAAACCTTTTGATAAAATTGTATTTCACCAAGGAATTTTATACATTATATTTCAGACAAGGTGTTACTGCGTTACTACGAGTCTCAACGTTCCTCAAGTGAATCAGGTAATTTGGAGGGCTACGGAGCTGTAGAGCTTAAATTCTTAAATTTGCAGTAAAGGTAAATTCAAAATCCTCCACAGGAAAAGAAGACAGTCTCAGAAGGTTCTTGCCAATCCAAGCTCATAGTAAAATCTTCGATTCTTTGAGAGTTTACTTTATCCCATCCATTTTGCGTTTAATACTTAGGATAAAGGTTTGGCTACCTTTAACAGAGATCCTAAATAATAGTAGCTTAAGTTAGATAAAACTGTATTTCTGCCTTAGGTAGGGCTGAAACAGCAGTTCTGCTAAACAGGCTGTCTAGGAACCTAGCTTCTTTATCAGGTAGCTCTTGACACCATGACAATATCCAATCAGCAGAAAAGGGGAAGACAGATGCATGCATTCTCCTTCCCTTTAAGAGTATAACCTGGAAGTTATACCTGACAGTTCCTCTCACCTAACATGGTCAAAACTTACTCCTATTGCTATACTTAGCCATCCATACGAAGACAGGCTGTAAAATGTTCTATCATTATACAAGAAGAGTAATTGGATATTGGGGGACAAGTATCAGTGGCCTTACAGGCAGAAAGGGAAGCTGATGTCAGAGAAGTGCCCATTAGAATCACAGTTCTCCAATTAGAAAGCATATAAGAAAACTAACCTCTCTTCAGTTGAGAAATGCCCTCTAGTTATCCAATGACTCTTTAGTTTTGAGTACAAATTTTCTAAGAGACCTGTTGGTGAATGAAGTAGTTTAGACTCTTTTCCTGGGTGTTAAATTCATTTAAATAGAGATGAGTTATGATTCTTAACTTTATCATTTTCAAATTTTTTAATTATAAGGTGACGATGTCGACGGTAAGATGTTAATGGTAAACCTGGGTCCTACAAAAGACCTCTGGCTGCATGCCAACAACAAGGAGAACTCTGTGGAGGTAATAGAAATATGATTATATAACTGTCATGACTGCACCCGTTTATGTAGATTTGAGTGTTTGGTATTTTGCAAATACTACTAATAACTTGCTTCTGGAGTTGGCAGGGAGATGGCATCTATGGCCTTGCTACTGAAAATCTGATCTCCACCAGCAGCACTTCATCTCCTGGAAGTCTGTTAGAAATGCAGACTTTTAGCCTCTCCTAGAACTGAGTCAGAATCAGCACTTTAACAAATCTCCAGAAGATTCATATGTACATTAAAGTTTGAGAAGTACTGCTACATAGAACGATCTCAAATTCTTTCTATTTGACTTTAGGAACTACTGTTTTCTTCTAGGAAGTGTTTCTTTGTATAATATAGTTTTCTTAAGAAAATTAAAAAATAATTTTATGCTCTAAGTCTGCTTAAGGGGAGGATCATAAACATTTCCATGCGCCAAGATTTGTAAATAGACTAACAATCTAAATTCTGACCATAGGTTTACTGTATATTCTTCTTTAGTTTGTAGGTGGCATTATTGTATTGATCCTAACAAGTAATTATAAATATCTTGAGGAACAAACAAAGGTAAAGGAAAGAAAGAAAACAGGAGAGTTTAATGTAGAAGGTAATTATATAAATATAGGGCCCAGTATAGTGGCTCTTGCCTGTAATCCTAGCACTTGGGCGGCGAAGGCAGAAAGATTGCTTGAGATCAGAAGTTTGAGACCAGTCAAAGCAAGAGTGAGATCCTGTCTCAACAAAAAATTGAAAAATCAGCTAGGTGTGGTGGCTTGCACCTGTAGTCCCAGCTACTCGGGAGACTGAGGCAGAAGGATTACTTGAGCCCAGGAGTTTGAGGTTGCAGTGAGCTATGACAATGCCAATGTACTCTAGCCTAGGTGACAGTGTGAGACCCTTCTCAAACAAACAAACAAAAAACCCGAAAAACTAAAAAAATTACACAAGTGCACAAATTTATAAAGCTAACACAGCCATGTAAGACATATTAACATAAACAATGAATGGCAGTCAGCATCTTCCTTAACAAAACACTACTAATATATATGTATTAATATAGTATTTGGCAAATATAAGTACTTAGTAACAAAATATGACTCATACTTAGTTCTATTATATAGAAAGTGCTGTCCTAAATTTTACAAATACTATCTCAATTAATTCTCCTAGTAATTGTACAATGGAGTTATTGTATTGGTCAGCTGTGTGGTGTAACAAACCATACCCAAAACTTAGTGGCTGAAAATAATCATCATTTATATTACTCATAAATCTATAGATACTTTGGGGATTGATTGATCTAGAAAACTAGCTAGATTGCAAAACTGAGGCTGAGGCTTGAGATGTGAAGCAACATGCCCAAGATAGCACATGTCACAGGGGTACAAATCCTGAACTGCTACATATAGATTCATTCAGCTAAGCCACACCCTCTCTGAGTATTGACTATCAGTGAACTAAACCGAATCCACTCCTCACCCTTTTGTACTCTATTTGCTTCTTCCTCCCTTCCCTCCCCTACTCACTAAGCAGGCTTGCTACATAGAGATTAACAAGTCATAAATAATTATTCCCTTTTAGTTTCTAACACAAGGCAGTAAAGTTGACCCTGAACTTCCTAATCACATATTGATTGTGTTCTTCCTTGTTTCCTCAGCTTCATAAGTGTGAAAAACCATTGCCAGAGGCCTTCTTCGTCCTTCATAAGAAGCCCTTAAATTGTGTTTCATCCGAATGTGTTTCATTTGAATGTAAGAATGATCCTGGAAAGTTTATCGGTGTAAAGGATAATCAACTTGCCCTAATTAAAGTAGACTGTTCTGAGAATTCGTGCAATGAGAATATCATGTTTAAGCTCTCTAAAACTTAATGTGATGGAAAACTGTGGGTCTTGGTATGGATGGCCCAAATGCTACCTTTGGAGAAGTAATAAGAGATAAAGAAAGAGATGGACAATGTGCAAGGGAAATGGAGAACACTTAGCATGCCATGGAATGTTTTTCTTCTTTTGTATTTAATGTTTTCTTTCTTTCATGTAAAAATATTTTTTTCATATTCTTCAGTTCTGTTTTGTATTTCCCTCAGTAAAATTGCATATTCAATACAAGCATCAGTGTATTAAGTAGGGTATTGGTAAAGAAACTGCCAAAATTCTAAAAAGATATAGCCTAATCTTTTACTTTTTTCTATTGTCAATACAAAAATAATTTCATATTTACCACTAAGGCCTCTGGGAAGTGTTAGCATCATAGCTCAAATTTCCCTTTAGACAGGGATCAATTTTAAAGAGCTAGGTACAAAAGTAATTTTCCCTGGTTCCAAATAATAGTCTCAAACATGACATCTGCTAGTAAAAAAAAAAAAGGAAGACCAGATGCTATATAAATTGACCACTTCTCAGCTGAAATAAAACATTAAGTCTGTAGATGTCCTAGGCAACACTCAGATCAGCTCTCTCTTACTATAAAGGGTTAAGGAACTTTGAATGGCTACATGACTAGCCAGGTAATATAAATGAATGAAAAAGGAAAGATAGTAGAAAAATTAAGAAACCTAATACAACAGAAACTCCATAGTTGACCACCCTACTATAACCACCTCCTTAAGTTGACCTAATTTTCATAAACTAAATATTTAGCTGTAAATATCAGTACAGTAGACCTATTTCCTTATGTTGACCAATACATAACCTCCGTATGTGGACCAATTTATTACAGACCCTTGGTTGATAACTTACAGAAGTTTTACTGCATTTGTGGAGAATAATTTAACTTGTAATTATTTTATTTTTTAAATTCTGATTTTTACGTACTGAGTTTGCTTTAAGTAAGGTGTTCTTACATCAGGACATAAAATAAATTCTAGTTCAGACATAACATTTTATTTATTAAGAGTATCTAATAATGGCTTGGTGCCTGTGGCTCAAGCGGCTAAGGCGCCAGCCACATACACCTAAGGTGGCGGGTTCGAATCCCCAGCCTGGGCCCGCCAAACAACAATGATGGCTGCAACCAAAAAATGGCCAGGCATTGTGGCGGGCACCTGTAGTCCCAGCTATTTGGGAGGCTGAGGCAGGAGACTCACTTGAGCCCAGGAGTTGGAGGTTGTTGTGAGCTGTGATGCCATGGCACTCTACCCAGAGGGATAGCTTGAGGCTCTGTCTCAAAAAAAAGAAAAAAAAAGAGTATCTAATAAACTAAAACTTAAAAAAAAAATACTGAGCTACAACATATTTTAGGGCTTCCAAGTACCACTTGTATGAACCTAGATGAGATATGGAATTAACATTAAAATGTCAATAACTGATTGTCCCTCATGTTTTTACCATATTATCTTTTCAGACCTGGCCCCCAGATCTATATCTTTCAATGTACTCATTGTCACCTTGGACAAAGTTTCTTCTAAATCCTGCTTCCCATGCACATAGCCTTTTTGTTGTGCAACTTCCTGAAGACCCCACTTACTACGAAATACTCATGTCACTTTTGTCTCTTCTTCACTTCTTTTGACTAACCATGTCCTCGATATAGGTTTTACAACCCCTGAGCTTTATTCCTGTATTACCTGACCTTTTGGATGCCAATAATTTTATTCTGCTTTGCCCATTTTGATAGTGTACAATTTTAGATAAACATATTAATGGGAATATTTTTTGTTGAATATCTTTGTGCTTTACTATTACTAAGGAAGTAAAATTTATACTCAACCATATAATAACACTTTTTAACTACAAAAGGAATATTTTTTGCTTATTTTAAAGTCTTAACAATTTCTACTATAATTTTTCTTAGACTTAACACTCACAATAAATGATAAACATTAGCAGAATACTTATGAAATGTGCCCTTTACTGAAAGTGTGGGCTTTTAATTTCTAATTTGTTGAGACATATTAGACATAATTGCTGGTAGAACACAAGATAAAAGAAGTTAACCATTACTGTATAAGGGTATTTTAATTGTAAAACAATACAGCTTTGTTTCGTTACTTTGTCAATAGTTTTATCAAAGAGACAAAAATAAAAGTTGCATCTATGTCATCCTCTCTGAAAAAACACTAAATATCAACCATGTACATCTGTATGATATACTTAAAATTATTACTAAATAACCAAATATATGTTATGCTGTTTATATTCTTGAATAAACTATATTTTTCAAAAGTATGTGAGACCATAATGATTTTATCATAAAATGACTACTTTCTAAAATTCTTAAGTAAAAGTAAGCATACCTCAATCCACCAATGTTGGCATCTGACGTAGGTCATTTGTCTGATTTTTTTTTTTTTTTGAGACAGAGTCTATGTTGTCCTTGGTAGAGTGCCATGGGGTCACAGCTCACAGCAACCTCAAACTCTTGGGGCTTAAGTGATTCTCTTGCCTCAGCCTCCCAAGGAGCTGGGACTACAGGCACCCACCACAACGCCCAACTATTTTTTAGTTGCAGTTGTTTAACTGGCCCAGGTTTGGTTTGAAACTGCCACCCTCAGTGTATGTGGCTGGTGCCATAACCACTGTGCTACGGGTGCCAAGCCTGTCTGATATTTTTGATGATCTAATACTAAGTAAGATTTTCAAGTAAAGGGATTGTGTCTTTTTCGCTCTTGTACTTCCAGTGGACTTTTGGTGGCTGGCACAAAGGAAATAGTCAGTGACTATTACTCAAGATCAAACAGCCAGCATGTATCTGTACTAGAACTTCAACCTAAGACTTCTAATTCCTTATTTAGATATCTTTCAACTTGGCTACCTTATTTTCTGTGTTTAATTTCCCTTTTTTATAATGCCATCATTACAGTCAATGTAATTTGATTACAATATTCTAATGTGTGATAGCATTTTTGTCATTTACATACATGTGTTTTGATGGTCTGTAACACATATTACTAGTAGGAACTTGTTCATTTAATTGTATCAGAAATGATAATTGTGTCAAAACTTACTTTTCCCTCATTTTATTTATACTCCTAGAATTTTCTGTATTTACTGTATACCTTGAAATATTGTCAAGAAAATTTTATTTGAATGAGTAAAATAACTTAGGGGAAAAAACTAAATATGAGATGAGGTAAATGAGGGATTTGAAGAAAAAAACTGCCAACTTAATTAGAAAATGGGTAGTTTGATTTAAATCAAAAATGACAAATTTATAGAATCCCCACTTCTACAGAACAAAATAAACCAAAAAAGACAATTTAAATGTTTGTGCTTCATGCTGAAATCTTCAGTGGGGGTTGAAGTAGGTTTGTCCCACAACTCCTTCTTCCCTCACACCTGTACAGCTCAGAAATCTCATCTTCCGCCAGTTGTAGTGGCTTATGCCTATAATCCCAGCACTTTAAGAGGCTGAAACAGGAGGATCACTTAAGGCCAGGAGTTTGAGACCAGACTAGGCTACATAGTGAGACCTGTCTCTACAACAAAAAAGAAAAACATTAGCTGAGCATGGTGACACATGCCCCACCCCCTACTCAGAAGTCTGAGGCTGGAGGATCACTTGCGGCCAGGATACAGTGAGCTATGATGGCTCTTGCTTGTGCAATAAAGCAAAACTCTGTCTCAAAAAAACAAATGAAAAAGAAATCTCATCTTTTACCAGTTTTTCACTAAATACATGCCATATATACTGAACTTTGCTAGGTATCATGAAAGCACAAAACAAACCTTAGCTATGCTCCTTGTCCACATAAAAATTAAAACATTTACAGTATGTATTAAAACTCTAACTCTACAGTACACAGTTATACATAGGTGAAAGAGATCAGTGTGGGTTTACAATCAGAGAAAGAAATAGAACTGAATTCTTTATCTTTGTATCCTAATATCCAACCTGATCTATTCTAGTCTGTAATTCTTTTTTTTTTTTTTTTGGCATTGTATTTTTAAACTGAAAATGTTTTATCTATTCTTATGTGCATTCTCATGGTCATGCTAAGCATGTTCCTTCTATAGGTCTTAGGCAAAAAAGGTAAATTCAGTTGTTCCAACCACCTTAGTAATCAGTGTTGGGCTTTAGTGCCTTAGGAATCTAAGAAATGGATCAAGAATGAAAGTGAGTATCAGTTGGTAGAGACAGGATCAATGAGCTATTCCTACTAAAGTGTCACGATGATGAAACACTTATCCAAGCTCAATTACAGCCTCTAGCCCAGAGGACACTCCTATTAAAAAAAAATGCATGAACCACTGTCCAGTATACTAAGAACATAGGCTTGGTTTACCACTTAAAGGCTGTGCATCTTTAGCAAGGTATGTGACCCCTCTTTTTTTTTTTTTTTTTTTTTTTGAGACAGAGCCTCAAGCTATCCCCCTGGGTAGAGTGCCATGGCCTCACAGCTCACAGCAACCTCCAACTC